GCAACCAAATCCCTCATTTTTTGCATATAGGTTTAGTCACTGAAGCTTATGGAATTGAAACTATGGCCATTTTTATCTTAAGTATATAACTTAACTATCACTTAACCTATTTTACTTTCTTGCAGGTACTTTTTCCCCCCCAGTGTACATTTATTGCATACTTCATATGCCATTCATGTTATGAGCTAAGTAGAGATGATACTGACATAGGCTAGATCCCTCTAGTAGCATTAGAATGTCTGACTGGGTGTGGTTGCTCACACTTGAAATCCCAGCACTTTGGGAGGCCAAAGCAGGAGAGACCCTTGAGCCCAGGAAGTTGAGATCATTCTAGACAACATAGGGAGACCTCATCTCTTCCCCCCACAAAAATCAGCTGGGCTTGGTGGTGTGTGCCTGTAGTCCCAGCTACTCTGGAGGCTGAGGCGGGAGGATCACCTGAGCCCGGGAGATTGAGGCTGCAGAAAGCCATGATCGTGCCACTGCACTTCAGCCTGGGTGACAGAGTGAGACCTTTACTCAATAAGTAAAGCACACATTAAGCTGTTCAGTAGGACCAGTAGACATATGTACTAAATACTATAGAATTATCAAATTTGATCAGCTAACTTCAAGGTCAAGGAGAAAAGGGCAATGGAAAGGACTTTAGTGATCATCGTATCTATTCTGCCCAATGTAATTCTGACAACTTTTTCTAGGCCATTATCTTGAGGTCTGTATGTGAGATTCTGATTCATGGTCTAGCTTTGCAGTGTCAAGTCATAATCCTCTCAGGACAAGTGGTTTTACTTGCATTAAAATGAAATAAAAGTTTTTTATTTCACTCTGTCGCCCAGGCTGGAGTGCAGTGGCACGCTCACGGCCATTGCAACCTCAGCCCACTGGGCTTAGTGATCCTTCCACCTCAGCCTTCCAAGTATTGGAATTACAGGTGTGCGCCATCAGCTTCGCTAATTTTTTGATTTAGAGACAAGTTCTTGCCAAGTTGCCCAGGCTGATCTTGAACCCCAGGGCTCAGGCAGTCCTCTTGCCTCTGCCTCCAAAGTGCTGGGATTAGAGGCGTGAGCCATCACACCTGGCCTAAAATAAAATTTTAAAGCTCAACTCTTCATTTGAGCCGTATTTCAAGTGTTCAAAAGCATTTGCATTTTAAGTACTCAATAGCTATAGTGAGTGACTGCCATATTGGACACTGCCGATCATGGAACATTATGATTGCAGAAAGTTGGCGTTGGACAGAGCGGTATAGGTTCTAATGAAGACCTAAGGGCAGAGAAAAGTGCTTGTTAATAGCCAGCATAGAACAAAAGGATTTTTAGCAAATCTGTTGAAAGAAGAAAGGCATTAATTCTGTACTTAAAAGTAATTATACGGCTGGGCGCAGTGGCTCATGTCTGTAATCTTGGCACTTTGGGAGGCAGAGGTGAGAGAATTGCCTGAGCCCACGGGCTGGAGACCAGCCTGGACAACATGGTGAGACCTTGTCTCTACAAATCCAAAAAATTAGCCATGTGCGGTGGCGCATGCCTGTACTTCCAGCTTGGAAGGCTGAAGCAGGATAGCCTGATCCCAGCAGGTTAAGGCTGCAGTGACTGTGAGCGTGCCACTCACTGCGCTCCGGCCTGGATGACAGAGTAAGACTGACTCAAAAAAATAACAAAAGGAAAAACTAGTGAACACTTTCACATTGTAGAATTAAAAAACCTACAATGAAGATTTAGGTTTTTCCCCATAAATGTTACAGTTTTGGGACATGCATACCAAAGTGAAGAGACATTGTAGATGGAAAAGCTGCTGATACTAAAATTTCATTTTGTTCATTATATTACTGAGGGTGTCCAAATTCTTGGTTAATAGGGAAATTGTGAGTGCCAAAATTTAAGGCTAGAAGCACAAAATAAGATAAAGCAGCCCTTGATTTTAAGCAGGTTCCAATCTAAGGAAACCAGTGCTTGCCAAGAATTTGAATGATGTGACAACTAATAAGATAGTGTGGCCAAGCACGGAACCCTGGCAACAATACTCAATCTTTCCTCTAGGAAGTATGGCAGTGACATATAAATGAAGACAGACTGCTCTCACAGGGAAGTGTGAATGAATTGTAGTGCCTTGGAATTACAGGTATCACCTTCATGTTTTGATTGGCCAGATCCTGGCTTTAGTAGAGACATGATCCAGCTTCTCTGGGTCCTAACCAGACCCAATCCCAAATCATTCTCTCAGGCCTCACACTCAACTTCCATCTGCTTCATGTTTCACCACTTAATATTGCATTTTGCCACCATTTATTTTACCATTCACTTCTCCATTCCTACTCCCCATGACAGACACTTATGGAGAGAATGTAAATGCACTGCCATGGATTCTGGGACTTTCTGTGCTATTTGGTCATTTTACTTTTCTCACACATTGCAGCTGCAATTACTGTTCTTGAGCCCTCAGTGCTATAATGGGTATTGAAAAAATATACACTCATTTGTAATCCCAGAATTTTGGGAGGCTGAGATGTGAGTTACTTGAGGCCAGGAGTTTGAGGCCAGCCTGGACAACATGAGAACCTGTCTCTGTCATATTTAAAAGTATATATATGTTTATACTGAATGACTGAAAGTCATTTGATTCTTCCACGCCGCAAATAACCCTCAAACTTAACAAAAATTTGACTTCAACGATGCTATTTGGCACATTCTTTTAAGTTTTAGCTATCTAGTTTATGACGGCATCCATCTTCAACTCTGCTTTTTTCTGTGAACGTACTCCATGCATCCTGTCCAGATCTCCCTCACCCCACTGGCATTCTCTAACTGCATTCTACAGTTTCTGGATATGTCTATTATCTTCTTTCCTCAGGATATGTTTTGAAAGTCAACACAAAAAACTTACCTTGGATCACATCTCCTTGATACCGTGCTACCGAGATTCCAGGAATATCTTTTTTTTTTTTTTTTTCAGAGTTTCACTGTTGTCCAGGCTGGAGTGGAGTGGCACGCTCATACCTACCCCAGTGTCAACCTACTGGGCTCAGGCGATCCTTCTGTCTCCACCTTACAAGTAGCTTGATCTACAGGCATGCGCTACCAAGCCCGGTCAATTTTTTGATGTAGAGACAAGGTCTTACCAAGTTGCTTATGCTGGTCTCGAACCCCTGGGCTCAGGCCTCCCAAAGTGCTGGGATTACAGGCTTGAGCCACCATGCCCAGCCCAGAAGTATCTTAAAGTTCATGTGCTCTCCAAATGTCTCACTGCACCTATTCTGTTTTGTGCCTCACCATTCCACTGCTGCCTGGTCACTGGCGACAGTCTAAATGAGGAACGCTGGTATTGTCAGGCGCTGCCCCTAGTTTATCCTTTCACACTATGAGCATTTGCTGTCCACTTGGGACTCGTCTTGCATCTAGGATGTCGCTTTTGCCTTGTTCCTTTAGGCTGTGACTTTCCCAATGTCTTGCTGGCTCACCCTTGGGGCATCTTGATGTTCATATTTATAAGAAAAAGGAATACGGAAAAGTGGAGTCTATGTATTCAAAATCAGTTTTATCACCTTTTTTGTTTTTTTTTGCAGGAATGTATTTTGACAGTTAATGTAAATAGAATAATGTAAATCATGTCTATTTTTTCATTTTACGGAATAAAAGTTTTTGTTATACATTTTATGAACCACTTTAACGACTTTCTGTGAGGTAGGTAGACCAAACAGCTTTCCAGTTTTTGCTATATCAAACTCCATGGATATCTGCACAAAATGTTTTGTACTGAGATCTTTCTAGGAGTATCTTACCGGCATTTTAAGACATCCTACTCATGAGCAAATTGCGTCAGAGCCTGAACTAGCTGATGGGTTACAGCCGGTGCTTGCTCTGCAAGCCGGCAGGAGCTTTCTTAGCACTTGGGACAAAATGGGCAAACAGAAAACTGCAAGTATGGGCGCGCAGAGGGGACAGGAAGAACTTGAAGACTTTTCTGTTGTTCGACACCACCCTCTCCAACTTACCTTTTCCTCGTTAATGGAAATGATTGCTTCTGTACTTAAGTGTGAAGGTACTGTGTATAAAACCGATTAAAGTGTTCTGGCCCGGCTTGGTGGCTCAGCCTGTAATCCCAACTCTTTGGGAGGCAGAGGTGAGTGGATTGCCTGAGTCCGCGGGTTCAATACCTGCCCAGACAACTTGGTGAGACCTCATCTCTACAATAAATCCAAAATTAGCCGGGCGTGATAGCGCGTGCCTGTAGTTCTGGCTTCCTGGAAGGCTGAGATGGAAGGATCGCCGGAGCCCAGCAGGTCGCGGCTCCGGTGACCGGGAGCATGCCACTGCACATCAGTCTGGGCGACGGAGTAAGAATACAATTTAGGAAAAAAAAAAAGGTTCTGAAGCAGCGTTGACAAGGGATGGGTCCTTAGGCGCCAGGAAAAGGCGGAGAGAATTTAAACACTCCACAAAAACGCATTTTATTTCACTTTTCGGTGCGCGCTGGCAACAGGCGTCGTGTCCCGGCCCCTGCACTCCTACTGCCCCGGACGGGCGTGAGGCGCGGCGCCGGCCCGCAAGCAGCAGGAGCCGAGCAGCGGTGGCCTGGCCCTGCTTCAGGCTTGGGTCGACAGGGACGCACCGTCCCAGTCCCCCAACAGTCAAGCCATCGGGCGGGGACACGAGTTACTATTTCAGCTCGCATCCTCTGCATGAATGAGGTTGTATTTTGAGAAACCGTACAGCTAGATACTGCGGGAAAATGTAGGACAGTAGGAGAAAGACGCCATCACACCCCGCGGGGCCGGGTCCATCTGGGAGTTTCCGGCTCAGCGCTCCTCCGTGGGATCCCGCCCCACGCCAGAAGCCCCGCCCTTATCTGCCCCGCCGACAACGCCCCCGCGCCCCTACCGGCCCCGCCCCCAGCCCCAGCCCCAGCCCTTCGGGTGCACCGCTTTCCTCCGGCCCCGCCCTTAAGTACGAATTGTTCCTTCCTCACCCGCTGGCAGCCAACGGCGCCGGCGGCGGAAGTGACGACACCGGAGCAGGCTCTCGGGCGGTACTGGGCCGGGTAGCTCCCAGGCCGTGGTTTCACATCCGAAACAAAACAGCGGCGGCTTGGAGAGGGACCTGCGCTCCGGCGGCGGCGACGAGGTCAGGGTAGGTGTGCGGAGGGCCCGGGGAGGACGGAGGCAGCGGACACGAGTGGCGCAGACCGGCCGTTTGTGGCGCCCGGG